GAAAATTCTTGTTTGTTCTCTTCCAATTCTCTGTTGAGCCCAAGTCTCCATGAATAAGCAACTGTTTACTGTAGAGAAACAAAGACCAGGAAATCTTAATATAAGATGTTTTGTCCTGGTTTTAGTTCCTAGTTTAGTCCTGGACTGGTTCAGTCCTAGTTTAGTCCTGGTTTAGTCCTGGTTTAGTCCTGGTTTAGTCCTGGTTTAGACCTGGTTCAGTCCTAGTTTAGTTCTGGTTTAGTCCTGGACTGGTTTAGTCCTGGTTTTAGTCCTTGCATTAGTTCTGGTTTGGAGGCGCACAGGAGAACGGTGGTGTCTGTGCAGTACGGAAGGAGACGTGGGATATTGCCCAAAATGTGAAAATGTAAAAACACGAAAATACCACCATGTAATCCATTTATTTCAACAAAGTAATTGTAATCCAATTACCACTCACTGAAACAGTAACTGTAACTGAATACAGTTACTCATAATTTGTACTCTGATTACGTAACTCTGGTACCTGTAATCTGTTACTCCCCAACACTGCACACAGCAACACACTGAGTCAGAGTTAGACAAACATTACATGGCCCGTTCATCAGAAAAGTAACACAGTGCACATTTAACGCTTCATTTTGCGTAATACTGGACTTTTAAAGAGCAAAGTGTGACCTGTTCCAGCTCGGTCCAAACCACTGCCCCATTCAAATATTATGTCAGGAACACAACCAAAGGATTTCCACTGGACCCACCGTTCTGACATCACCTCTGTGCTAACCCATAATGCAACAGTCTGAAAGTGTACATGTTGTGCGTATGTGAGTGTGAGTGTGTGAGTGTGTGTGTGAGTGAGTGTGTGAGTATGTGGGGCACACAGCTGCTCCTGGACATGACTGGACGTGTCCCAGAGAGAGGACACAGGGAGGGGCCTTCTGACTCAACATTACCCAGCAAATTACATCCACACTCACTTCTGATGAGTTTTGACAAGCTTCTTTTTAATTTTGTCGACTATTTTCAATTGAAATGTTATCTTATGTTTAATGGTACATTGTGAAACTTTTGTGGTGGAGCGTGGGTCAAATTCTTTTCTCCGTGGAGATGTCATTGCTTTATCTGGAATTGTCTTGAGTTTCAAAGTGTGGCATTAAAACGTTCTATCCTCATGGAGACCAGACCAGTCCAAGTTCTAGGTCAGATCTGTGGAGTGGCGACCACACTCACAGTCAGAACACCTGTTTTTGAGTATTTTTGAGCAGTAAAACCAGCTGTAGTTGAAGAAATGTAAGGTGGAGCTGTATAATGTCACACTGTGGAATATTCCAGGCTGAGCAAAGACATCTCCATGGAAACAAGAAGGTGACAGAATACTTTGCATTTATTCAATTACAGGTGGTTTTACAGCTCAAAAATACCTAGAAAAACAGACATTCTGACTGTGAGCGGGGTCGCCACTCCACAGATCTGACTTGTAACTTGGTCCGGTTTAGTCTCCATGAAGATAGAAAGGTTTAATGCCATACTGTGAAACATTCTGCAAAACAATCCAGACAAAAAGCAATAAGATCTCCATGGAAAAAAACACTCGACGGCCCCTCCAGCAGAAAAGTTACACAATGCGTCTTTAGCGTTACGTCTTGTTCTTTGGGATGTGTTTTGTGTACACACAGTTTCATCATGTGCTGGAGTCACGGAGCATGAGGCTGAATAAGGCTGACGACACCTGGGGAAACACAACCATGACAACGCACAAGTCAGATCTGTGGAATCAAAACCACTGTATTCGAGGAAACAGAAAAGAAAAAAGAAAATTAAGTAACTGAAAATTCTAAGGTCATGTTTTGTTTCTGTGTTTTTGCCGTTAAGGGTGGGGAGTTATTTTGAGAACTGTTGCTAGATGCTTTTCTTTTCAAAACATGATATTGCAAAAGATATAAGAGGACTGAACCGGGACTAAACTAGAACTAAACCAGGACTAAACCAGGGACTATACCAGGATGAAACCTGGACTGAACCAGTACTTAACCAGGAGTGTTGAGCAGGATTAAACAACTAAATAGACTATAGGACTGGACCAGGACTAAACCAGGACTAAATCTGAACTGAAAAAGGATTTACCCAGAACTGTATACCAGGACTAAACCATTAAACTACTAAACCATTAAACTACTAAACCAAGGACTAAAAGAGGACTAAATCATGACTAAAAGAGGACTAAATCAGGACTAAAAAGGGACTAAATCATGACTAAAAGAGGACTAAATCAGGACTAAAAGAGGACTAAATCAGGACTAAACTTTAAAATATTGTACTTCAAACATAACATAATATATTTAACTACTAAACCAGGACTAAATCTGGACTTACACAGGACTATAGACCAGGACTAAATCATTAAACTACTAAACCAGGACTAAACCTGGACTAGACTTTAAAATATTGTACTTTAAAAACATTTCATGATATATTTAACTATTAAACCTGGACTGAACCTGGACTAAACCAGGACTGATCCAGAACTATATACTAATCCAGAACTAAACCAGGACTAAAGTTTCAAATATTGCACTTTAAAAACCTCTCGAACATAATATAAGCGAAGGGACTATGTAATGTGATAACTAAAGGTCAACATTCACTTCCCCTTTCCTGCGCTCTGATTGGCCGGCTGCCCTGTGATGTAATAGGAGCGAAAACAGGTTACACAAACACATGACTCAGCTTTTTAAGACATACTCTTTTATTTAGTATATTTTATTATGTTTTCCAAGTATAAAAACACTTTTGTGCAGTGAACATTGGGCTTGCAGAGCAGTGATGGTTCAAAACATCCTCACAATACAATAATGTATATGGGCCTTTGAAATACTCACAAAACATTCCAGTTTGGTGACCTATTTACTTCTGTATAGGCTTGTTGGTATATTCATCCACAATAAGGCATTAAATATGACTATCTTCAGTTAACTCGCCTCTCCACAGACCCGACCTGTAACTTGGTCTGCTTGTCGCCTTTACTCCACGGACATATGCCGTACTGTGGAATATTCCAGGTCAATGTCCAGTGTCATACATGAAATAACATCTCCGTGGAGACAAGCAGGGGGCATGAGTATCAGAAAAGTTACACAGTGCAGCTTTAATGAGCACATTTCAAACACCATGGTGAATATTGTTTGATGAGCCAAATACATTTTTTCTGTCCAATTTAAAGTCTAAATTTTGCTTCAGATGAAAAAAAAAAAAAAAAAAAAAGCCAAATGTTGTGTTTATTTGTTTTACTTTTATCTAGAATTGAGAAAATTTGACTCGGCTCCAGTCAAATGAAGCTCAGCGAGATTAGCAGTTATTTGGAGCAGAGTTGTTTATAATTTATGGACAAAATAGAGAAATAAAAACACCAGGATCATGTAGAGTGGATTAATACGAACTTTTTAAGACCAAAATGACGAGGCTTACGCAGCAGTTAGAGATTTTTTCAGTGTAAAGTGAACTGGAGCCAGAGTGGATGGAGCTAGAAGCGCCGCTCATGCTCCATTTCTATCTACAGCCAATGATGTGAGCGTGTCTCTGGGTTAAACCTGATCTAGAGTAGCTGTAGGATTATTCTGCATGCTTTAGATAGATGTGTGAATCAGACACAGGCAGAACATGCAAAGTGACCGATGAAACTAACCAGGATTAAAAACTCAAGGGGCAAATGTGGCGGTGACAGAAATGGCTTCATGTATTTGGGACATTCAAAGCACACACAGTATTGCCATTGTAAGCGTATTATATTTCTATATTTCAGTGCTGTGACAGGTTTATGCACACGTCCAAAATACCAACATGGGTAATAAATACATTCTATAAAATACATTCTGAGGTTCCAACAGCAGCTCACGAAACAGCACGATTTCAACATTTATAGAAAAACAAGATTATGAACACTAAACAACAAGCAACAGTTAACAGTGCTAGAAAGTCCTCTGTACAGTTTATGGCTAAGAGTTTTCCATTTTTGCAACAGTTTTTGAAATATTTTTGATAAGAAGAAGTTGCGAAAGACTAGCTTTTCTTAACTTTTTGTCAACAGTGGGCTACTTCCAGCGTAGATCCTGAGAGGTTAGCAGCAGATAAATGACACGAAACACTCAAAAGGTTGTGGTTTTGAAAAAAAGTGAAAGTGAAAAGGGATGGTTTGTTTTTAAATGCAATAAATATATATATAAAAAAAAAGAAAAAAAGACTACCATTCAAAAGTAATGAGCAGAAAAAAAAAGTGATTATTTAATGCAATATATTTACTTTTGGTAAGATATTTCAGTTTTTTTAACCACTTTTAGCAACAATTTTTGACTTTTTATCAACTATTGGCAGCTTTGCTATTTTAAGTTGAAGTAAATTACCATTTACTTCAACTTTACCAATTATTAATTACAATTTAGCTAAAAGTGGTGTAGCAAATATTATAAAAAATATATAAATATGGTATCGCCCACTACCTCCATTGTTTCTATACGGGACATTTTCAAATGATTAAACACATGTTTATATTTACTGACAGTTTTAACAAACGAAAACAAACCACAGTCAGTAGTTTTGTATGTGCCTTAACCAGAGAATACAAAACGGAGTAAATAAAATAAAAATGCATTGTTTAGTTGGTGCTTAGCTTTGTTCCTTGGCCCTGACCGTTCCAACACAGTAAAAAAAAGTGCTCTCCTATTTCTAATATTACTGTCATGTCACACGTCGTCCAATCGGCAGCTTCGGTTTGAGCGAGTGGGCAGGACACAGAACACTGCAAAAACTAAAAATTTTAATGACTTCAATATTTGAGTAGTTTTAACTGAAAAATATACATTATTCGAGTTAACTTGAGGAATTTCAGGTTTTTTTGTTATTAAAGTTAAATTGTGAGAAAAATCTAATGTAAACTAGTTAAAATGCATTAATAACATTTAAATGATCAGGATTTTTTCAGCAAATTTGAACTAGTCATACTACTCAAATCATTTCATCTCATGTGGTCATCTTTTTTTCTTTTTTGCAGTGTATTCAACAGTATCACGTTTCGTCCAATCAGCAGCTTTGGTTTGAGGGCGTGGGCGGGACATACTGAAGATTGGCAGGTGTCACTCTTGTTTTAGCAGCTTCATGTCGACAACAATCTGTGAAAGAGTCTTTTACAGTTTTTATTAGTTCATAGGTGCCCGGCGCAGTGCACGTGGTCTAGTGACAGCAGTTCGGCGTCTATAGTGGTAGTAGAAGTAGAAGTAGTAGTAGTAGTAGTATTGAAAGTATTTGAAGTGTTAGCGGTGGAGGAGATGCTGGAGGTGAGGTTGTGCAGTTGTAAGGCGCTCTCCTTGATGTGTTGGATGAAGAGGTTGCGTTCGTCTTCCGGCGTGTGGCCGTTTTGTGCCCGGACGATGCAGGTGGGCCGGTGGAGGTTCAGCATGTACACCAACTGCTGCTTCTGCTGCTTCAACTCCTCGATCTGAGCTTTCAAGTCTGCGTTCACCGTCTCCAACTTCTCAGACTCCTGCCGAAGAGAGTGAAAACCAAAAACTGAGATTAGAGCCGTGAAAAAGCCCGAGTATCCATGGGTTCAGAATGTTGTCATACAGATTAGCAATTCAAAACTAAATATTGGAGCTTCTGAAAATGTTGCATAATTATAGCAGAAACTGGATGGACCGAGACTGGACAGGAAATCGAACCATGAACTTATTCTTTTATCTGATCTGTCCATCTCCCATTTAAACCAATACAATTTCACTCATAATAAAATGTATAAATAAACATTGAAAGTACCTTCTGTAGCGTCTCGGTCTTCTCCTTTTTCTTGTTGCGACATTTGGCTGCAGCGATCTTGTTTCTCTCTCTTCGTCTCTTCCTCCTCTCCACCTCCTCTGGGGTGAACTACCACAGAAAAACACCCACGTTAAAGCCTTCTGCAGTCACACACTCGGGGCTGGGAGCTGTTTTGCTCTATATTCCATATTTACGACGCCATCTCAATCACTGTCTCCATTTTGAGGAGTAATGTAATAAAACTTCATCAAAACTTTTTAATGAACAGCTCTACAGCCAACCCAGTGGTCCAGGTCGGATCCATAGTGCTCCATGGGCGTATAATTGTCTGATACAGAGAAAGATCAATCTAAAGACATTCAGGAAAGGTTCATTTCTGTCCTGTCAATGGGACTTTTTGCGAAAAATGAGGATCTAGTTTCGATACCAGTTTTAGTTTTGATTAGTATCTGATAATCCCTAAAACAGACTATAGTAAAATGTAGTATACAGAGTGTGCTCACCTCTCTCTTGTACCCCATGGGTCTGTTCTGCTGATGCTCGCTGGCCCGCTCGCTGCTGGACGAGGCGCCGTCGGAGCTGGCGTCCGCGCTCAGGCCGCTCGACAGCCTCTTGCTCTGGATGGTGAGACGCAGCTCCTCCTTCACCAGAGGACTGAACCCAGAGAAGTCGTCCAGGGTGAGGGAGCCGGGCGGGGACAGGCAGGGCACCAGGGCCGAGCAGCTGATGTCTGCCAGGGAGGGTCCCGGGTGCTGCAACATCATTCTGAAACACAACATGGAGTCAGGATTTATTCATTTGTTACGGCCCATATTACACAAAATTGACTCTTGGACCCTCCACTTCTGGTTTCTATCAATATGTGGCTGCTCTGCCTGGAATGTTCCACAGTGTGACATTAAACCGCTTTACCTTATATTTATTCAATTACAGATGTTTTATAACTCAAAAATACCTAGAAAAACTGTGAGTGGGATCGCCTCTCCACAGATCTGGTTTGGTCTCCATGGTGATAGAAATGTTTAACACCATACTGTGAAACATTGAAGAAAAGTGCTTGACGACCTTTTGACGAACATCCACCAGAAAAGTTACACAATGCACTTTTAAATCATCTTATAATCTTGTTACCGCCTGAAAAACATGTTGTGTAATCAGGAAGAATGTGTACTTAAAAAGGTATTTCTGAGTGATAAAAACACTCAATTAAAAATAGGCAAGTCTAATACCAAAGTGTGGAACATTTTAGGCAGAGCAGCAACATCTCCATGGAGACAAGCAGGTGGAACAGACAAAGTTGCACCTTTAAAAAGCCATTGTAGTACTGTTAACTCAAGGTAACAGTACATCATTCTTTACAAAACAGGTTTAACCCCGATGCCCTTCCTCCTGCTCTGTTTATTTTCATATTTTATTAGTTATTTTTAGTTTGACTTGTACTTTTGACACTTATTTAGAATGTATTATTAACCATTTATATCTTTACTATTGGTTATATTATATTGTGATGTGTGACTCATGTGTCCAAATCATTTCCCTGTGGATCAATAAAGTTTGTCTAAGTCTAAGCTGCATTACTCTATCAATAAGGCAACATTGCATAACTTCTTTTTTTTTACATTTTAAATCAATGTGCAGTTAAGTTACAGTTCCTTATTATAAAACTGTGACTTTTTGCCCCATAAGGAACATGAGGTGAGAGTTCGGACCTGAACACATTTCTGCTGAGTAACTATGACAGAGAGGTCAAAGGTGATGCAACAACTGTGAAATCTTCCTGTTTAGATCATCCAGAGCAGAAGTACAAAGCAGAGGAACAGGGAAGCAACTGCACTCAATGTTTACACAAAAACAGCCAAGTCATGCAGTAATTATGTTTAATTAAATTCCACCTACAACCCTGGTATTTAAAACTGTTGATTTAAGATTTCACTTCCTCAATGTCTTGTGTAAACTATTAGGAAATATTAACAGTCTTTGTGTACTTTCCATTTGAATCCAATTTAAAGAAAATAACTCTCTATTCCGGTGTATTTTGACTCTGGGCAGTTTAGCCATTAACACAAATATATATATCCTTTTAGAATGTTGTTGATTGGAGAACATAACTAAAACAAAATAAAAGAGAAATAGGACTTTAAGCTGAGAGAAACAGACTTGAAAAGCTTTTCAAAACCATTAAAACTTGCATAAGTGATTAAATGTCAAAGTTCTCTCAGAGTTTACCAAAAATGATTGTCAAATTGTCTTTAATAGATTTGCATAAAACGCGATTATAAATTAAAGAAATTCATTCTTCGGAACTCCAGGGGAAACACCGGGGACTCCTCTGACTGTCGCCCGGGCAACGCTTCATCAACTCCGGCTTCAACCTTCCCTCCCTCCGCTGTTCACCCTCCACTACGCTCACGTGAACATTTAGTAGATTTTGCACCGAAACAGCACCACGAGCAGTCATTATTACGGAATTTTGTACAGAAATGTCACGATATAAACGGTTTAGGAGTCGTTTGAACAGCGCAGGCTCCGGAGCTCAGGGGGAGACACCGGGAAATCCTCCGCTTATCACCCGGGCAACGGAGCAACAACACCGGCTTCCACTGCTCCCACCTCCCGCTCTCTTAAACCAGACCCCAACTTCTATGAAACGCAAAAATGAGCCTTACCTGTTCAAAGTGCTTGTATTTGGATTCAGAAGAATGAATAAAAGATTAAAAGCCGCTGTATCTGGCGCGGGTTTGGGCAGTTTTCGCGCTCTCCTTGCTCCGGTAGGTAAAGTTGCGTGTGTAACCGGCACGTTGCATCACTGTCCTTTTATAAGAGCGCGGAGGAGGCGTGGCGTCCTGGGAATCTCGAACGTCCTACGTCCTACGCTGCACACAGACGGGAGGGGCAGGGGCTGACGTCATCCTATTTTTAGCCCAGAGGATTGTGGGACAGCGAGGATTATTGTTGACGGTGATGCAATCTAGCAACGCGCAGTAAACAGGGCGCACTCCTCCTCCTCCCTCCTTCCTCTCTCTCCTTCTCTTTCCTCTCTTTCTCCCTACGTCTCTCTCCCTCGTCTTATTCTCTCCGTCTCTTCCTCTCTCCCCCTTCCTCTCTTTCTCTACCTTTCTCTACCCCCCTTTTTCTTTCGCTCCTTCTCTCTCTCCTTGTCCTTTTCCTCTTTCTCTCCCTTTTTATCTTTCTCTCTTCCTCTTTTCTTGCTTCCTCACTCTGTCCTCCCTCTCTCTCTTCCAACTATCTTTTGTTCCCTCCCCAGTCTTTCTTTTCCTCCTTCTCTCTTTCCCTACACTTCTCTACCCCTCTTTTTCTTTTGCTCCTTTTCCTATGCCTCTTTCACTCCCTTCTTACTTCTCTCTCTCTCTCACTCTCTTTTCTTACTACCTCGCTCTGTCCTCCTCTCTCTCCCCAACTGTCTTTCTTTTCCTCCTTCTCTCTTTCTCTTCTTTCTCTCTCCCCAGCTACAACCCCTCCCTCCCTCCGGTATTTCTTACCTCCTTCCCTAGTTCCATTCTGTCTCTCTCAGCTTTTCCTTTTCCTCTGCCTCCCTCCATCCCCCTCAGTCGCTCTCTCTCTCTTCCTCTCCTTGCCTTTCCTCTCTCTCTCTCCTATACCTTCTCTTTCTCTTCCTCCTCAACTCTGCCTCCCCTCCCCACACTCTTTCTCTCTCTCTTTCTTTCTCGAGTACATATTTGTCATTCCTGGATCTCTTCTTCTTCTTCTTCTTCTTCTCGTCCTGTGGGCTTGAGTTTGTTTCACAGTGACAGAGCAGAGAGCAGCTCTTGGGGAATTTCACCTTTTAGAAAATACAACAGAAACTCTGAGCAGGAAAGTTAACATGTTTGTATTTTTTCTGTCATGTGTCTTCAATCCAATCTGAATATTTGTTTTATTTCATTTGTTTCAGTGATGAATGCACCTGAATAATAATAATAATAACAACAACAACAACAACAACAACAATAATAATAATAATAATAATAATAATAATAATAATAATAATAATAATTCCTTATCTATTTGTGTTCTATTTTATTAACTTGTTTATTATCATGAATTGTGTTGGTCAGGGTCCCCTTGGAGGAGCTGGAGGAAGTGTCTGGGGTGAAGGAGGTCTGCTTAGATCCCGGATAAGAGGAAGAAAATGGCTGGATGGATGAACTGACTACTTCTTTGTCTGTTTTCATTCTTTCTGTTTGCTTTTTGTATTGTTCTTTGCTGCTCGTACAGAACTGTGAAAACCTTGTTTTTAAAAGTGCTTTCTAAATAAATAAAATAAAGATTTAATAATTATAATCATCAATTGTTTCTACGGAGATGTCATTTCTCTGTCTGGAATGTCCCACAGTGTGACATTAAACAGCTCTACTTTACATTTACTCAATTAGTTTTCAGGTAGTTTTATTGCTCAAAAGTACCTGAAAAAACATTCTGACATTGTGACTGTGAGCGGGGTCGCCTCTCCACAGACCTGACCTGTCACTTGGTCTGGTTTGGTGAAGATTAAATGGTTTAATGCCCTAAATTCCAGACAAAGCAATAACATCTCCGTGGCATCAGAAAATTTACACAATGCACCTTTAATTTTAATTTCAATTTTAATTCCTTTTCTCTTTTTGTTCTCAAACTGTGAGATACAACACTGGAATTTCCCCATAGTGGGACAGATACAGGTTTTCTTCTTACCTCATCGTAAAGAGTTGCCATTAAGAGTTTTACCAATAAATCTGAACAAGTCGCTTACAACATCTGTTTTTAAATGTTCTGAACTCTGTGCTGAAGCGACTTTTCTAAACACAACATGTCACCTTTTCCAGTGGGAAAATCTGATGTAAAACCATTGTATATATTTTAAAGAGATTATTTAGAATGTAAATAAATTAAAAAATAAGATATAATGACGATAACCAAGCTTGTAATGTAGAAAACTTTCTGTGATATTTGCCCTGTCCCATGTGATTATTAAAGGACTTTTACTCTGATTCTAGTGCTCAGACGTTTGGACTACAGCTTTTTACTTGATCACAGTAAGTTTGGACATTACAAGATTAATCATCTTCACATTATGTTCGAACTGTTCTGGACTTCTACTGATACACTAAAGCTCTCACTTCCTCCGTGTTAAAAAAAATAAAAAAATCTTTGGCTCAACATAAAAAAAATCACACAGTAAAAGATAACATATTATATTTATTTAGTATAAATAAGTAAGCAAACTTTATTTATGTGGCGGTTTTCACAGATACAAATCACAAATAGCTTCACCGAGAGCAGGTACACAACACGAAGTAAACTACAATACAAAGTAAAGTACAGTGTTGGGGAGTAACAGATTACATGTACGGGAGTTACATAATCAGAGTACAAATTATGAGTAACTGTATTCAGTTACAGTTACTGTTTCAGTGAGTGGTAATTGGATTACAGTTACTTTGTTGAAATAAATGGATTATATGGCAGTATTTTCCTGTTTTCCTGTTTTCACATTTTGGGCTATATCCCCCCTTTTTTTTCATTTTCATTTTCTTTTATCAGATAAAACATCTAATGTTATAATTTCCTCGTATTTGTTTCTCTACAGTAAATCAAGTAATCCAAAGTATTCAGATTACATTACTCACTTTAAGTAATTTAATGGATTACGTTACAAACTACATTTTGGTGTATGTAATCTGTAATCTGTAGGGGAATACATTTTAAAAGTAAACTTCCCAACACTGGTAAAGTAATAGTAAAGTAACAGTAAAGTAATAGTGTAAAGTGTAAAGTCTAACTGGGTCACAGGACTTGACCTTGATGAGTGAAGCAAAAGTGTTTCTAAACAGGAGTCTCAGCTGTTTTTAGTTTCATTCAGGATCTACATCTGCTTTTTGTGTAGGTCAAGTGAATACAGTGAGCTCACTGTTTCCACCGACGCCCTTTGTCCGAGATTACAGATGGAGATGTTTGAATATTACAGACGTGTGCTCTGATTCACGGCTCTAAACTTCTTATCTCTTGTTTACGCTGATATTTTTAGGTCTTACACACAGTAGGTTAAAGTGTCACAGAGTGAGTCCGGTGTCAGGAGCGACCGGTGACATCACCTGGGCCGGAGTGACGTCACCAAGGCCACGCCCCTGCGCTCCCATCATGCCCCTGTGCTGCTCTCATTAGGCTGGACGCAGAGGAGAGGGAGGATGAGCTTTTATTATAATTACAACAGTGACACGTTCAGGGACTATGGGACATTTGAAAACAAGTCTGAGCAAAGGTTTGAAGAACATATTATCATTTAAAGGTTCAGTATCACACAAAACCGACTCTTGTGAGCTTTAAGTCACGTTAGAATGTTTATACCTGCTCAAAAACACACCTGGAGTTGTATTTTGTTTCATTCACATTTGAGTAATTCTTTATTATTAATCTGTCTACATCTCCAAAGATCCAAATGTTCTGTTCCAATTTGTGATGTCATGAAGCTGTCGTTTTCAAGTGAACAGCTCCTTTTACCTTTAGTTCAGTAGAGATTGGACATTCCAGAACTGAAATGATCCAAATGATTCTAGCGAAGGTGTGTGGAGTTTAAAAACACAGTGGAGCTCTTCCTGTGTCACCGCAGAGAACGGAGGTGAGAGATTAGAGAATAGAGTGATCTGTGTGCTCGTTTTAGTTCAGATGAAGCGAGTCGTCCTTCAGGTTCTTCAGACCTTCAACCCCACTCAACTTTCACTTGTTTCATAAATAAACCAAAACTGAAGGAAGTTCTGAGGAAAGAGAAACACACGGACGGAAAACTAGAGCAGCAGATGTACTGAGAAGAGGGAGAGAACGAGAGAGGGAGGGAGGAGAGAGGGAGAGAGGGAGAGGGGAGAGAGGGGCAGATGTACTGAGAAGAGAGAGAGAGAGGGAGAGAGAAGAGAGAAGGAGAGAGGGAGAGAGAAGGAAAGAGGGAGAGAGAGGGAGAGAAGGAGAGAGGGAGAGAGAAGGAGAGAAGGAGAGAGAGGAGAGAGAAGGAGAGAAGGACAGAGAAGGAGAGAAGGAGAGAGAGGAGAGAGGGAGAGAAGGAGAGAGAGAGAGAGAGAGAGAGAGAGAGAGAGAGGAGAGAGGGAGAGAAAAAAGTACCATGAAGAGAGAGAGAAGAAGAGAGGAAGAGAGAGAGAGAGGGAGCAGATGCACTGTGAAGAGAGAAAGAGAGTAAAGGATAGAGGGGGGAGAGATAGAGGGAGAGAGGGGGAGAGGGAGGGAAGAGGAGAGAGGGGGCAAATGTATTGTGAAGAGAGAAAGAGGAAAGGATAGAGGGAGAGAGAGACGGGAGAAGGAGAGAGAGGGGGGAGGGGGGGCAAATGTACCATGAAGAGAAAGAGAGAAAAGGAGAGAGGGAGAGATAGAGGAGGGGAGGGGAGGGGGGAGACAAATGTACCGTGAAGAGAGGGAGACAGAGGGAGAGAGAGAGAGATGGGGGGAGCGAGTGCAGAATTCATGAAGATGATGTCATGGGCGGCCATTTTGGATGACATCACCACTTCAGTCAGATGTAAACAGTGAACATAATGTTTCCAGAATATTTACAGGAGTTTTATTCGTGCTGCTCCAGGAGGAACGCTGGAATCTCACTGTTACGTTTGTGCACACAGACTTTTACAAGACGTTACTTCTGAAAGCACGTCACAACTTTCCAGTTTTAGTGTGAATGTTGTGACTTTTGAGAGGCACAGATCATAAGCTGATGGGAAAATAATAAAGAAAAACCCCACAGTGCAAAACAGAGACAAGTGAAAATGACTCTTTTAAAGGTCCTGTGTTACACAAAAATGACTTTTGAGCTGTAAGTCAG